TTGTGGGAACTCTGTTTCTTGGATTTCCATTTTTCTTTTCCTTGTTGATACTTCAGTACTGAAGAGCATGGCCAGACTACATCGTGGCTTTCCAAGGCTGACCCTTCATTATTTGATCACATTTCAAACTTTGAGAAAGATTTTATACTTCTAACAACTGATTAAAAATAAATAAGGATCAAATTGTATGAAGAGACTGCAGTGTGTGGTTCCAGCGATTCGTACTTCATTCTGAGTATGTTTTGCGTATTCAACTTTCTCTTTGACTGAGAAGCAGAAACAGGACACTACTCCCCACAGTGTCTCCCTTCATTACAAAAAGATACAGGGGGTGGGGGGCTTCGTAGCACAGACCTTTAGTCTCAGCACTCTGGAGTCAAAGGCATGTGGAGCCCTCTGAGATCAAAGCCAGCCTGGTCTACATAGGGAGTTCTAGGACACCTGGGGCTGCTGGAGACCTTGTCTCAAAACAGACAGACAGACAGACAGACAGACAGACAGACAGACAAACTGGAGATCCTGTCTCAAAGGGGCTCAGCGGTTAAGAGCCCTGGCTGCATTTGGGCAGAGTACCTGGGTTCGATTCCCACCACCCACATAGTGGCTAACAGCTATCTGTAACTCCACTTCCAGGGTATCTGGCTCCCTCTTCTGACCTTCACAGGCATTACACTACATGGGTGTACGCCTACACATGCAGGTAATACACTCATATACATAAAATTAAAAAGAAACAAAAAAGAGATACTAGTAGAGTCACCGCTTTAGGACAATGGTTTGTTTCTACATTATCCCAGAACTTTAGTAACAAAAGTTTTTTGTTTTTTTTTTTTAAAGACAGCCTCTTCTGACCTCCGTGGGCATTGCACAACATGGGTGTACTTACCTACATGCAGGCAATACATGCGTACACATAACATAAAGTAAAATTTTTTGAAAAAGGATCGAATATGTTTTTAAAAGACTAAATGTGATGAAAGGGTTTGTTTTCATTTGCTTTATGTGGTGAGGTATTCACACATCATCTCGTGTTTCAACCTTTTAGGTATCATAACTTGTGACCCTCCATTGTTGTTACTTCATTTGTTTAGTTTATGTAGTTTAAAAATGGTTCCCTGCAGATGCTTTTTTAAGGCTGTGGGGTTGTGTTGCTGAGCCTAGGCTGATCTCTCTGCTCTTGATCATATGGTGTTTCCTGGTGGGTGGCCAGCTGATGGGTGTGCTGGGCTGCCTTCTCCTGGACCACCACAGCCCAGGGGCTGGGGAGCGCCTTTCTCTTCCTTGAGTTGAGTGGCCACCTTGGTTTGGTTTTGGCTTACACCAGCAAGACTTCAAAGGTCTTTTGTTTTCTGACAGTTGAAGAAACTGGCCCAGAGTTCTTACTCTTGGACAATTGCTTAATTGCTTACAGATAATTGAAACTGCCTATTAAAGGTTTCTATTATGAATCCCCTTATTTTAGGGGAGGTTTGAAGTGTTGAAATGGTTGGTCAACACAGTTCCTGGTGATGGAAAAGTTTGGCTTTGAAGCATGAAGAAGCTCATTCTTTTCTAACTTGGCACTGTGTGTCTTTCCTCTGTGTTATAACAGTCCCCTGTTAAGAAGTAAAACCTAGAAGACCCAGTGCTTGTGTTGGTCCTGTTGTGGCATGTGTACAGAAATATGCATTTAGAAGGGTTGACCTTAATACAGAGTACTATGTATTGAAAAGAGGTGACTAACGATATCAAGCATCTCTTTGATACCTATGGAGAAGAATGAATCCGTCTTACACAATGAAGAGTTCAGACTCTAAAACATCTCACCGGCAAGCCTGGGGAGCAGTTGGATGAAGACTATTTTGCATTCCTAATGTAATGTTTATATTTCCTGGCTTTCTGAGTCCTGTAAATGTTTTAGAATATCACTTGATTTAAGCTTTTTAGTACATTTTCATGAATGATTTTTCCATGGAGGAATGTACTTCTCCATTATTAAACAAGACAGTAGGAAGATATCATTTGGTTTCCACATTTGGCTTTTAAGCTAAACCATCAGCAACATGTCTGTCCCACAAAGCTGGGCACACCTGTCATGGGTAATTGCACTTCTCCTTAGTGTTATTAAAACCAGTTGCACAAGGCAATAAGACTGGTACTTCAAATGTACTAAATGTAAACACTCTTCTAAGTGGTTTAGCTCCCATGTTTCACCCGTGGTGTGTTTAAAATGCTTCCCTCCCCTCCTTCCCTTTTCTCCGTTCTTCTCTCTGACTCGGTAACCCTGAAGTTGCTTTTAAGAAGGAACACAAGCCGGGTGTGGTGGCGAACGCCTTTAATCCCAGCACTCGGGAGGCAGAGGCAGGCGGATTTCTCTGAGTTCAAGGCCAGCCTGAACTACATAGTGAGTTCCAGGACAGCTGGGACTACAGGGAGACCCTGTCTCAAAAAGACCAAAAAACAAAAAAGGAACCCAAGTCAGAAATATGAGTAACTTCTACTTAGATCGTGCGCACACCTCACAGTGCCGTCATTTGGATGGGACAGAGAAGCGAAGTGGAGCTTAGAGGTAGGGATGGCAGCCTGCTTGGACGAGCGCTCATTCAACTAAGTGAACACTGGTCCTGGGCAGTCCCAGTCCATGGGAGTGCTGGAAGAAGGGCAGAGAGCACTCTGATTTCAGTGCACCCAGACCGTGCTGAGAACTGACTCCTGAATTTGAAACTGTACAAGTCACGTGAGGTCACACATTTTGCCACAAACCCAGCAAGAAGAGAAACACAAAATGGCTGACAACAGGGATGAAAAGGACAAGATTGGGCCAGTCCAGACAGGATGCCTGGCTTTCTTTCTCAAGAATAAAGGAGAGAAACTCACATTTTAAATAAACAGTTTTAGATAAGAGGACAGCTACTGCTGAATATCTGTTGTATTAGGTTAGTGCTCATGTTGGGTGACAACCTGTTATTTTTCTTTCTTTTTAAAAAGTTATTCTGATTTTATGTGTATGAGGGTATTGTCTGCACCTAAGTGCACCCGTGAGGCATCAGATCCCCTGGAACTGGAGTTATGCATGATTGCTAGCCGCCATGTCGGGGCTGGGATCTAAACCTGGGTCCTCTGCAAGAGCAGCCTGGGCCCTTAACCACTGAGCCATTTCTCCAGCCCCTGTTATTTTCATTTTTATGTAGCCAGGCTGATCATTGCTGTTATTTGGGGGCTTGTTTTATACTGAAAATGGAACCTAGAGCCTCATGCCCATGAAGCGCAAACTTTGCCACCCAGCCCGAGGATGTTTGCTGCACATTTGTTCCAGAGAAGTGGTTCCATAGGGAAGCTGCATAGAACTGAGATCTGGGAAACCTGGACTTAAACCCCAGTTGTTACATGACACGGGGCAAGTTGCTTATCTGACGCCTTAGGTGGCTTTCTGGTCTGTAAGGTGGACACCATTGGTAACACCGGACCCAGGCAGGGCTAAAGGAGATAACATGTCAAGTATAACAGTGTTATCCTCAGTCAGGAGAGAAGAGTTACTCACTCTGGGAGAGCATGGGGGAACATTTCCTCCTTCTAGGTTATGGAAAGGGCCAACATTTCAGAAAATCCTCAAATTTATTTATTAAATATAAATTGCTTGGGAGGAACAGAGTGTCAGCACTTGACAGTTGGGTGGTTGGATAAATAGTAAAATACATTTCAAAATGTGTATGTTACTGTTCAGCAGAGTTCCAAGAAAAAATTATCGGAAATTATATATTATTGGTTTAACTGCTGATGACATATTTTACATTTATGGTCCAATAAAATTATGCTTTGATAAGGTCCAGTTATCAAAGTCTCAATTTTTTATTTGATAAGGTCCAGTTATCAAAGTCTCAATTTTTTATAATATGAAAATTTAATATCTTATTAAAAGATTTTTTGGCTTCATTTTTATTTTATATATATGAGTGTTTTAGCCTGTATGTATGTAATTGCACCCATGTGTACAATGCCTATGGAAGCCAAAAGAGAGTGTCAGATCCCCTGGAACTGGAGTTCAGGGGTTAGCTGCCACGTGGGTACTGGGAACTGAACCCAGGTCCTTTGCAGATTCAGCCAGTGCTCTAACCACTGAGCCATTTCTCCAGCCTCTTACAACGTGAAAATTTAAAGCATTTGTTTAATGATGGTCTTTTAGGAGCCTTGTTCCCTGTCGTAGCTGAGTCACAGGGGACAGACACTTTTGGTTTTCTTCAGTGTTCTTGAACCTAATCTTTTTGGCCTAGGACTGTTTTAAAAATTGTTTATTTTGTCAATTTTCTTTAAACTGCATTTTAGAACTAAAAGTCTATTTTAATGTGGTAAAAATAACTTTTAAGTCATGGCTGAAAATGACGGGACTAAATCTATTTTTCTCACAACTCATGTTCCCATTCTTCCTGTTCTGACTGACTGTGACCCAGAGAATGTTCTTTGTATGCATCTTAATATTTTTCACTGAAAAATAATCTGAAACTTTCTAAGTGTGAGGATTTTTAGGAGAATACTGTTGCCTATTCATTTATTTATAAATTGTTAGTTCCTAGTTAGATGAGTATGCTTAAGCATTTCTAACATAAAAGGTACATATAAGCAATACTGAACATTTTCTGGTTATTTAATGCCCAAAGAAAAGGAATTGTTTACAAAAAATACTGTGTTCTGAGTTTCTTGTGGTTAATCATGCGGCTTATGAACTTGGCTCCTCATAGTATGTGTGTTTAATCATTTGAAGTATTTATAAACTTTGCTCCTTGTAGATTTGTGTGTTTTAGGATAATATGTGAGTTTCTACAACCATTCTCAAATAGTTAAAAGTCACAGGATTACAAATTTCTCTTCCTCATGGAAGTTAAATGTGTTGCATGTAGGTAATTGGTTTTTGTATCTCATAAATTAAGCAAATGTTACTAAAATACCACTATATTGTTTGTTCCCCCTTATGTGTGTAGTGTCTTTAAATTTTTGAGCCTTATTTGTTGCTATTATTTGAACAGGTGTCTGAATGCTTGTACCTACTGCAAAACTAAACATGCCAGAGGAAATTTGGCCAGCTATCCAATTGATGAACTAGTAGAGAGAGCCAAGCAATCCTTTCAAGGTAAGAGCTGCTAGGATTATGGGTGAAGGTAGTCTTTTTAGTAAGCCACATTCATCTTTAAGCAATGTGTCCTTTTAAAAAGGCCCCTGTTCCTGTAGTTTTTTGAAGATTATAAATATATCCACTTACCTAACAGAAGATGCTATTAGATTTAATCTCTCAAGCTGTATTGTTATTGATCACTGTTTCGTACCACTTTTCCATTTTCTCATCCTAAGGTAAATGGCACATTGCTGGCTTCGTCATCCCCGTCGACACTGGGGGAAAGGGAAACTGGAAGGGAGGGAGGGAAGACAGAGTGAACACAAACCTCGAGGCTGCAGTGTTTTAGGATTTCTCTAAGTTCTACTGAGAGAAGTGTTCTGCAAGGGCTGCTTACCTTTGCCTGAATCATTGCCTACTGGAAAACCTGACTGTCTAGGTAGCCCTCAGAAAACAGAAGATTTATCTTTGACAAGGGTCACAGTCATGTTGACACATAACTGCTTAAACCATGAACTTCGTCTTTTGTCTCTGTTTATAATTTGTGCATTTACCAGTGATATGTTTCTATACCCAACATCAGACGGTCTATTGTCTTCTAATCTTGTGGGTTAATAGTTAGTGGCGATGTACTTTTTCTTTTAGGAAGTGACTTGGAGAGTTGTTTTCAGAGCTTCATACCCAAATGTCGGATGTTTGAGTTTCAGATACATTTCTTCATTCAGTCTATTTAAAGCTTTTATCAGCATAAATTTGGAGTGTTTCCTGAATAGACAAATACATACCCTTGGCTCATTTACTGGTGTATCCCAGTGTTCTTTTAAGCTGTATATTCTTAGCTTGGTGTCTTTCTTCCTATGTTCACATTTGCCTTGTGTTGATGAGAAACAAGGGGAGCTTGTTGACTCTTGTAACACTCTTTTTAGCGCTAGATTCCATCCATTCTAAGGAATAATCCTGACAGGTTGTCTTTTCTGCAACCTGATTCCTGAAAGCATTTTTTGGAAGGGTCAGAAGTTTGGATGGAAATATAGTCTATGCTGATCATCTTGGTTGGTCCTTCTGATTGCTGCTTGCTTTTCCCTTGTACCTCCCAGACAGTTGGGCTATTAAACATGTGATCTGTCTACCAACCATTGCAATTGAAGTTACACAAAGCTGTGCTTTCTCAGCATGATGGAACTGCATATCATCTTAAAAACTTTTCTCATTTCACTTAAAAAAATAGAAAAATATAAAACTATAAAATGACCATGTATGAAGAATTTTTTTCATTCCTTCATGATCAATCCTTACCTGTAACTTATGCTGACATTTGACAGGATTGCTTCCTGATTTTATACGGATGCCCTTGTGTCTCAGACGACTGAAAAGAAGCATGAATTTTATAAGTGGTTAGAGAATTTTTCTAAACATTTCCTTCTTAGCCCATTGATTTTTCTTTAGAGATGTGTTCTAAACAACGTAAGCTTGCTGTTCCTTCTGTAGAACTTTAGTTAGTATTGTCCTCATGTCCATGTGAGTTGGGCCAGTTAAGATTAGAGACTCAGCATATTACAAGAAACAGCAGTAGTTACTGGCTGTTTTATAGAGGAAAAAATATACCAGAAGATCACCATCATTGTCATCAGTAGTTATTTATGTGTTTTTTTTTCATTTCTAACGAGAGTGTTTGCAGTGTAAGTTTATTTTTAATGCCATTTATCTGCATCTTATAGTTGAAGTTGAAATAACTGACTTTTGGACTGTTGAGTTCATTTCATCGGCATGTGGTCCTACTACTAAAGTACTGAGGTTGCATCTTGTTAGGTGAACTACTGTACGCAGGAAAATAGGAAGTTGTCAGGTATTTGTTGCCTGTTGATATAGGCAGTTTTGGTTTAACACTGCTCTGATGCTCACCTGGCAGGTGATTTGAACAGGCTGCCTGTCAGATCTCCTAAGCCCTGGTTTCTCATCACTGTTATTTATCATTGTCTGCTGTAAGAATTCTAGGTGATGTGTGTAATTTGCTGGCCATGTGTAAGGGGGTGAAGGAGATAAGCCCCTTCAATTGAAGGGATACCAATGAATCCAGGAGGAAAAGTCTAATTTGGTGAGAATATTGGAGCATCCATAACAAAAATGTAAAGGCCCATAATTCCTTCACTGGCATTTCTTTTGCTTTATGCTTTGTGAAAAGTTTCTCCGTCCATGAGCAATTTAGTATGATAGTCTCCTTTCCTCCTCTGAGTCAGAGAAATGTGAATTTACAGAAGGATGGGCTTCTACTCTCATCAGAGAAATACCTCCGTAGCTCATACTGTAAACAAGTGAGCTAGTATCTGTCTGGTGGGGTTTCTGTTGCTGTGATAAGCACCCTGGCCACAAGCAGCTGGACAGGAAAGCGTATGTTTCCTCCTGCAAGTTACAGCCTATGATTGAGGGACCTCGACCCAGGCACTGGGGCAGGAACCTGGAGGAAGCAACAGAAGCAAAGGCTGCACTGCCCACCGCTTGCCCCGTCCCTGCTTTGTTTAGTCACCTTTCTTACACAGCCCAGGCACGCCTGCCTAGGGATGGCACTGCCCACAGTGGGCTGGGTGCTCTCCATCAGTTAGCAACTAAGAAAAAGCCCTACAGACATGCCCACAGACCAGTCTGATGGAGGCAGTTCTTCGGTTGAACTTGCCTCTTCTTGGGTGACTTCAGGTTGTGACTTGTTGACAATATAAACTAATTTGTAGTATTAATCATTTTACTGCAAAAGATCTTGGAATTTTAATTGTCTCATAGAATTCATGCGTTTGCCTTTAAAATCATGGAGCTAATTTTCCAGATAGACATAGTAGAAGAAATGTGCTGTGCTATTCTTACTTCATGACTTTTGCTTATTCTTTAATAATTCACCTGTCAGTATTTTTTTTTGAGCTAAAACCCCTTAAATTCCCAAGTCCTAACATGATTTAGAAAGCCTGCCCTAGAATGAGTGACAAACATGGCTCTATGAGGAGTTTCTCTGAGACAGTTGGTCTAGGGTATGCAGCACATTTTAGCATTCTATTTAAAGTCACTGTCTATGCAATGAAACTTCTGCTCATAAAATAATCTGTTCCCCATCTCTCGCCCTCTCCTTTCTCTTTAATGATTTGTGAGACTAAGCCTTGCTGTTTGTGGGCATCAAACTTGCTATGTGGATCACACGGCTGGCCTCAAACCTATAGCAATCCTCTAACCCCTGTCTGGAGTGATAGGTGTTGTGTCACCACATGGTATGTTCTTTCCTTAAATGGCCACTGTGTGCTAGTAGTACTAATTTATCTATTTTAAATGGAACCTGTGTAGTCTGGGATTAGAAGCCAGGTTTGCTGCCATGTGGCAGAGAGTAGGTAAGAATGTAATTTCCTCCTGACTAGCATATCGACAAAACATTTTATCTTTGTAAAAAATCACCTCCTGTTAGCATAATGAATGAGGATTCCAAACGCCAACCCCAAGGCAAGCAAGCTCTCAGAAGAGAATGGAGACCTGTCAGGAAACCATTCTGAATGGAATGGCTTCTCACAGTGTCCAGACTGCTCAGTCCACATTCGATGCCAAAGCGTGCGTGAATGTGCCTGTTCTCTGTGACAGGATAGCTTGAAGTCACAATTACGTTTTTAACTAGAAGCCTTATTTTTTCTTGCACATGAAGCATATATATTTGGCTGCTTTCTTTGCCCCTTTCCCTCTTCTCTCTCTCACCCTAGGCCCCTGGTATCCTGGATGTTTTCATTGATGTTTTCTTTTGCAGTTTGGGGAGCAAGTCTTAACATTTGAGTTTGGGGAAATCTTGCTCCACAATGCTTCGTCTCTGCTGATTCAGTCCCCCCCTCCCCCCGTCCTTTTTTTAAATCTTAGGGATTGCTGGGTTTGACGTAGCTGCATTTTAGATATCTAGAAAAACATGTCAGACAGCTCCCAGGACATTGTTGGGGTGGGAATGAATTCACAGGCTGGTGTTTTCTCGGATATTTGTATTGATTTTCCCCTAGCAGCTAATCAATCAGTTTCAGCTGTGCTCTGGATGGAGCAAACCTTTGTACATGCACAGGGTGAACGGTGTGGAAACAGTCCCTTTCACTGCTGTCTCTGAATCAGAATGTGGAGATGATGGATGGGCTGTTTTTATAGCTATCCTGTGCTTTTCTAGATCCCATTTGTGCATTGCTATCCCCCCCCACCCCCACTCTCATAAATCTGAAAAACCCTTGAAAGGTAAGTGGCATAAACTAGTTAAGTGATGGTAAAAGAAATTAAGACAAAATGTTCAGAACAGGAAGAAAATTTCTTGATGCCTAGTGGTTTCAGTATGAATGCTGGAACTTTAAAAATCAAATTCTAAGCTCCAGGCTCTCCAGGAGCACCGCCTGTTGTGTCTAAGATTAATTGCAAAGAGCAGTAAGAAGACATCGCTTCCTGCCTTGTTGGGTAGTCAAGGCTGAGAGCAATACCGACTCTTCTACTGTATTATCTTCAGATTGCTCAGTTGTGGAGCTTGCGTGAAGCCCCATTTGACTGTCACCTGTAGAGACAATTAGCATTTAATGGCTTTGATCCAGGATCAAAAAGGGACCAATAATAGCATTCTATTAATTTATATGGCAGTTAAATGTCTCTCATTCTTTTCATTTGTGCAGTGTTCAAATAAAACAATCAAATCAATTTCTCCTATAGATGATGTTCATTTACATGTTTGCTGTACATTGTCAGCTCCCGACGGGATTTTAGATGCCATACATTGAATGATTATATGTATTAGACTAAGAAAATAAAAGCCACGAAAAGTGCTGTGCCAGTTGAAAGAGGGAAGATAATTTTCCTCACCTGGGTTCTGGCTCTCTGGAAGACTGGGGAAGAGCGATTCGCATAATTCTGTATGAGAGTGTAAAGGAGGTATGCAGCTTACCACAAGAAATTTATGTGGTTATAGGCTCTAAACACTAGTGGGCTCATTTATCATAATCCAAGGTATGACTGAAGGAGCAGCTGACAGGTAC